ACTTATCCAGTACGTCTTCTGAATTGCACAAATTTACAGTGACATTGGCTTTAAAATAAACTTAGTTAAATTAGGGTGTAAAGCGCAAAAGATGCTCCACTTGTAATTGCTCATCGTATCAGTTCAGTGGGTATTTCTCTCTTTTTGGATGGTTTTGAACAAAACTGATCTGGAAATCTGAATTTATTACTTCTTCCCAACCTTTCAGTAAGAAGAGATGAACTACACGGGCCAAAGAACAGACCTCTTCAGGGGTTTTGTATTTCTTTTGGTTTTACTAGTGATACTATTCATCCTTGATTACTTTAAAATATAAAATCAGTTTTGATACATAGATGAATTTTTGCTGCCACCAAATAAATTAAGCCATCTCTGGATTGGATTAAGAGTTCAGGTCACATGCTGTTTTTATTTCTTGCTATGAGTGGTTCTGAAGAGGAGTTAGTGGGGAGGGGCACAAAGGGAGATGATAGAGGGCAAATTTAGATAATGAAATGGATTATTGAACTGCTTTACAGTGCTTGGAATCTTCATTGTTTTCTGGTCCAAAACATTAACCCTGTATGTTGTTGTGGACTCACAAGCCCAAGATACCTATGGCAGATATGCGCTTATGTGAATGTAATGCAAAGGATGAAAGATGCAAGTTTTGGTTATAAAACTGTATTGTGAAAAGCTGGGAATAAGGTACCTGAGTCAATGCCAAAAGTTCATATCTGTCATATTAATATGAAGAAATGAGCTAATTTCTTCCAGGGAGTAAGAGGAAGGGAGAGAACTTGAATAAGCTCTGATATATTCTGTTCTCTCTTTCTCCCTATCCTGCCTGGGATAACTAATGTAATAAGTATTTACTTGTGCAATAGTTAAAGCATGAAGTGCTTGTTGAGGAGCTCTTCAGGTATGACTTGATATGTCCATAAGTTCCTACTTATACTCTTGCTGTCAGAAACATGCTGTTATCGTGTCAAGCTTATTTAAAGGGAATTGGAATTGTAAATGAAGAGGACTTGTGCTGGAGTGTGTCAGCAGAGGGACAGATGACAACAGCTGCCCCATCATCTCCTGTTCTGGTGCAAGCCTCAGGGCAAGTGTTTCCCAACACCTGAAACTGACGTTTTTGGAGACCTTTTGAGGTCAAGCGCACTGGATTTCATAACAGATAGTTATCAAAGTGAAGTGAGGTGGCTGCTTGATTTGGAGTCAGAAAAATATTTCTTGGCTAAGTATATGCAAAAGCAATTTTGAGAATACAGACTTGGGATAGCAATTGGATTTTGTTTTGTTTGCTTTTTTTGTATGAGCAGAAGCCTTTTAAATAGGTACTGAAACAGGAGTGTTATTTTGAACCAATCCTTTCACAGTGCCGAAAGGCAGGATGGAATTACTGAGATGTAAAAACTCTCAAAGCAAGAAAGTTATGATTACACTAGGCTGTTGAAGTCTGTCTCCCATACTGGGAACCTTGCTGGCCTAGTCTCATATCCATGCAGAACAGAGTATGCCCTTGTTTGTATATTTGTTTTCACCTTTTTTCTTTCCTTTTCACTTTTTTCCCTCTCCTGGTAGATCTGGGGGATTGAAACTGTTTTTAAAATAGGCTTCAGTATGCACTGGCCATAATGAATGGTTCCTTTGTTTGCTGTGGTGCAACCTTTTGCCAGTGTCTCTGAGAAAGGATTAAAAAGCGAAGCCAGCACCAGCCCATAAACTTATTGGTGTGAGCCCACTGAAAAAGGGAGATGGCAACAGCTCACAGTCCTTTGTCTTGTTCACAGAAAGGAGAATGCCAAGTTTGTCTATCAAGATTGTTCATATTACTCATTGCTTCCTGAAAAGTCTTTCTGTATCTGTGGTGATTTGCTAAGCAGGCTGTAATCTGAGGAAACAATTGCATTGAATAAGCAGGAGTGATGTTTTTGTATAAGTGGTGTTATATAATGCATAGTGTAAAATGAGATGTAGTAACAGAGGGATTTCCAAATTCCCTGTCAA